CCCCAGGGCCAGCACTATGAGGAAGAGAAGAGAGCGCTGAGCCACGAGATTGTCGCCCTCAACAGCCACCTGCTGGAGGCCAAGGTGACCATCGACAAGCTGTCGGAGGACAACGTGAGTGTTGGGTCATTCTGACCCTGAGGGACCCAGGGGCAGGTGTGAGGGGCTGGCACCAGCAGGTGGGTGGACAGGGCAATCAGGGCCTTGAGGATGCCTGGGCAGCCGGGGAGGGGCAGGGCCGCCTCCCCACACACACGGACAAGGGTGTCCTGGAAGGAAGCAGGACTCGCAGGCAGAACACTGGGCCATATTTTCTCATCAAGTCAGGGCTTCCTGACCCCAGGGTGGGGGTATGGCCACTCTCAGTGGGCATCCCAGCCATGTGGCTGCCCGTGGGAACTAATTTCAAGGGCCCCATGAGATGGGCCCCAGGACAGGGTGGCTCTCAAGCTGGCCAGACAGTGTGCCCACAGCCCTCTGCTGCCAGGGGCAGCATGTCTGGAGCCTCACAGGGGGGTCAGTTCTCAGCCAACTGTGCCCTTCCCAGGAGGCCCAAGGAGGTCTTGAGGGGGCTGGGGACCCAGGTTCCCTCCACTATGCAGGCTGAGTTGGGGCACCAGCCTCAGCACAGCAGGTGGAGGTAAGAGGGGCCAGGGTGGGGGGATGATAGGGGTGACCCTACCTTCAACAGCTTGTCTGAGCTGCAGGACACCCAGTCCTAGTGGAGCTGCGCCCATCAGTGGGCCCCAGACTACTCAGTGTCCGGGCCCTCCCTGTGGAGGGTCCCTGGGTGGGGGTGGGAAAGAAGGCCCAGCCACAGGCACATGCAACAGAGATTTTCCAAAGACAAAACCAAATCCCCTGATTCCTACTGTTTGCATCTGTTTTCAGCTCAGGAGGCTGAGCGGTCCCCACCTGGACCTTGGGTCACACGGCCCCTGTGTCCCCACTTGCCCTGACCCTGGCCCAGCCCCACATCCACCCCCACTGCCAGGCCACACTCTGAGAACAGGGGTGTGAGGAGGGAGTCTGAGGTGTGGGGTGGCGGGGCTGCAGGCTCTGGCCTGTCCCTTGTGGCGCTACACTCCCCACCGAGTTCTCTGCAGGGACTCATGCCTGAGCCCCCCCC